TCGTTTTACATGGACCAAAGGCAATGCAAAAGACCAGAGTTGACTGTCAAAACTACGAGATATATTTCGGGACCAAATCGTGGACTGAAGCGGAAGCTAAGCTGGTTAGTGATCGTGCACGCAAATGACACGAGGATGCTTGATCGGAAGTCTTCACCTAAACAAGTCGACTTAAACACTTAGGGTCAGCATCCAAAGTTCACTGATGATTTTGGGGAATTATGTACCGCTACAAGATCTTAAAATTGTTTTACTTCGTGTGGCAGATAATTAACTACACAATCTCTCCCTCAAGGAGAGAAAATGAAACATCAGTTAGTAATTATCTATACAAGTGTGTAATAATTATTTGTAATAGTAAATAGTATTTCACAATGACCGAATCACAGTAGATCAACCAACAACACAGAGAGGGATGAATTTATGAATTTGTATTTGGCGGAATTATTTTGTAATTCACATAACAAATATTAACAAACAACAGTGAGTATTTAAACAATACAGTAATAGTAATAATAATACAGTGATTGTCAATCAAAACAAAGTTTTAGTTTTGTTACACGTGTATGAAGTGACACATTTGTGTAATTTCTGTGGAAGAGCACGCATAACTGACAGGAACGTGGCATATTGACTAGGTTGTCCTATATTCATGGAAGTCAGCTTCAGCTTACGGAAACCGTGTCTCTCTATTTTCTGGCGAATGTTTCATGAGCTGAACTGGTATGTTAGTCAGTATGTGACCTATGCGTTTTGATGTCTGGTCATACACGAAAACAACGGCTTAAAAAGCGGTAAACCTATTCGAAGAAACTCACAGAAGTGAAGTGAATGTTGGTTACGTGCTTATCAGTTTGAAGGAGGAGGAAGGTATCGACGACAAGAGAGGATGCTCAACCATTCGACTCAGACAATGAAGGTCTGAACTCAGTTTGGATGACGAGGCTGTGTAGTAGTAATTTTGGAGAACTGTATACCACTGCAACGAGAAATATTCCTCAGACTCTAAGGGAATATTAAATTACTTACTGTCTAACTACAGTCTGTATCATTGAAATCAAAATCAAGTTCAATTTAAAATCTCTGTGAAGTGTATAAGGAGTATTCATTTGTTTTTACAATATATTGTAAGCCACTCGTTACGTTCCGAGTGGAACATAGGACGTCAACGGCACAGTCGTTTTGCACGTGGTTATCTGCCACCACTTTCAACCGTCTCCGTGACTGCCAAAAGACTTTCATTCCCTCTACATATGATTTTCTTCTCACCTACTCCTCACTTGGATTCCTCTTAATGACCTAGCGTGTTGTATTACTTCAAGATCTCCTCAGTGTATGCCTAATAAATCGCCATTTCCTTTCAGCCTTCTCGGTAAATGCCAAAATATGTTTGTTAAACCATGCTATGGAATTAGTGATAATCACAGCACCATTTTAGAGGAAGAAAACTTCAGAGGACATGAATCAATTTAAATGCAGGATGTTAGTCAAATGTGTTGATGATAATAACAATGAACGAAAAATCCTCGTTTTCGCTCTGTATTGCAACAAGATCATCTGGGTGGGGGTTACCAGCTATGAAGCGAAGCACTACACAGTAACATGAAATGAGAATATCGCGGTATGGTTTAGTTCGATTCACAAGGTACAAACAAATGAGAAACAACTTAAACATTCATTCTTTTACTGCCACATTTTGATTCTGTACTTAGAGTAAATGTATTTATTATACAGACAGAAATTTTCCGAATTCTATTCACAAAGGTTTCTTCACCACTGTGTGCATATACTGTTTCTCTGTTGTCATCAGATCACAGTGCTAGAATGTGTCACTTGCTCTACTCTAACGGCTTTGTTTGTTCTCCCGTTTTATCGACTAAGATATACCGAATTGTCTAGTTTCAACGCTACGCTACTCCTTTTTTGTTTACTGAGTAATTTTTTAGAAAGAAGTCGAGGTTAACCTTGAAAATTTACTAGAAATTAACAAAATCAGATCGAAATGGCCAATTGACACGCAGTCAACAGACTGTGTAGTTATGAAAATCATAGAATTGTCATCTTGATTTATTCTACGAAGTTTATCTTCTTGATAGAGGTCAGTCAGTCAGTCAATAAAACTGTTTATGATTATGCACGTAAAATAGTCTAGATTATGAAAACTTGAGTTCATTATGTACAAGTGTCAGCAATGTCACATGCTCACAGATTTATTCTGACTAGTTGCCTTGATTTCACTTTATTACAAAACTACAGCACTGGATTGATGTGTACTTGTTTTAAAGAACAGATTTATGAGGGAGATATGATGAAGAAAATACTGATGATTTGTCGGATTACAGCTTTTATGTCACCAATGAATAATATTGAAGTTACTCATTGAAGTGAGGTGTGCGTCGGTGGTATGGCGGTTAGGACGCTCGCCGGGCATGCACATGGTCCGGGGTTCGATCCCGGCCACAGACGCACTCCTTTACCTCGCTGAACCAGAAATAATTCTGGTAAAGAGGGAAGGTTGGGCCAGCATGAGGCTAGCAACCCCATCCTGTAAAAGAAACACTGCTACAAAAACTTCAAGCCACTAGCTTGAAGTCCTATGTTCCACTGGGGAACGTGAAGGAAGAAAACAAAGTTAAAGTGAGGGAAAAGAGGACTGGAAAAACCGAGTATATCTACTGAGCAGGACATACATTCAGCTGTAGGTGGTCAGATTACTGTGGAGAAATGACCTTATTTCATTTTCAACATTTATTCTCAAATTGTCAGGTGTAAGTTTGTAGGGATTTCATTTGTGAAAAGTCCGATCACGGTTTGATGTCAGTTAGGGAAGCAGAGAAAAAACCAGGGATTACTGGAAAGCTGGTCAATACTGGTTTGGGAACCCACGGAAATCGAACACAGGACCTTTTGGTCACACGGTCAAGCTTGTTGACCATTTTACTATTCCAGCCGAATCCAATGGCTTGTAAGTATGGGTTGTACTCGAGATTGACCTCAACTAACCGCAGTAACTGAAGACTTCTCCTCTGAATACCCTTAGGAATACTCGTTCTAGCGTGTAAGTGCTGCTTAACGATCGAGCTCAAAGTAAGTAGGCTTGAGACTGGGTAGTGTGTTCTGATGAGAGCCGTGTTTAAGACAGATGAAATATCAACTTAAATAAATAATGAGATTGTTGTACAATTTATCTAGCGCCTCGGCTGGGTAGTAAGCTCGAAGAGTGCGCTGAATGGTTTATAATCGTATCTAATGAGGGTGTCAAAGCCAGCCAGCCAGGATCTGAAGTCAGTTTGGGAATCTGGTGCTGTCAGCATAAATTCAGATTTCCAACGCTAATCTGAAGTTATTTCTTCTATATGTTTGTAGAGACTTCACGTGACTGAAAACGTATTGGCAACAAGCTACTTCAGACTTTGACCAACAGCTGACTATCTACTCTGGCTCTATGTCAGAGATCAAATCGCCTACCGTAGCGGGTCAGCCAATCGAAAGGAAATCGCAAGTGACTAATCTGATTCATCAAACTACCAGTCTGCCAAAGCAGTTAACAAGAAATCGGTTGGTTTGAACTAATTCAGAACCCTCAGCTGAGTCAAACAGGGTACACCACTGATGAACTTAGTGTCAAACGAGTAAAACGGTCGGTCTTCGTTGTTTGGATCAACTAGATCTGGTGAGGAAGTACTACTGGTTGATGTAGGTAGTAGTATGTGTAGCGTCACAATTATATCAGATTTTCTTTGAAAATCATGTTTGCCCCTAATACAGAACTCTCAGTCAGAGTAATCTCTTCCGGAATATTTACACTCTGTGTAGAATACTATTCATCGATAGCATACAGGACGACTCGATGTCATTTGATCTGAAACAACATCCGATTCTCTACGAATCGTTTCCTTCATTTTCTTTTCAAAGTACGCACAGCAATAGGTTGAAAGTCAACTAAACATTTTCACGAGTTCATGTTGTAATCCGGATACATAATTTGAAGATTAAAAGTACACGAAGAGGAGGAGAGAAGTGAATGCAGTTTCACTAAATGGAAATTTTGGTAGCCATTGGTTTAAGCAGGCAGATCTAGAATTCAGCATACTTGTAGTTATCACTTGATTGGACATAGGGACAGAGGAGAATTCACTCCGACATGAATGAATATCCGTAGTCCCACTGTGGGATGATGCTTAATCACAAAGGGTATAGAAAACAAAAAGGAAAACAACATAAAATTAGAAAGATGTTTGAGTAATATGTAAGATGACCTGTTCCACCGACAAAATGGTCGATAAAGATATGTTAAAGTGGAAGAAATCTAAAAGAAATTACAAGAAACTAAGTCCATGGTAGATGGATGGAATGAGATGACTAGACAAGCTTCTTTTTAACCATAGAACTCTGGCTTCCTGTGTTAAAATAGGCTTGACAGCATACAAGAAAATAAGGACAACAAATCATAACAGTAAGACACATAGATCATCTCAAAGACTGAAGGGCTCTAAACATTTCATATGAAAATATACATTTCTAGCCATGAAAACCACACCTGAAACTTCGTCTTCATTTGTAATTATGTATAACGGAGGAAGGAGGTTTGTGTTCTCTGTGTGTGTGAATACAACTACATCGAAGTGTAATTATGTCTCTTAACTTACTGATACGCGAATTAACAGACAAAGAAACAAACTGAATCAATTGTAATTAAAAAAGGGTTGAAAGTTGTTCACGAATCATGACTGTAATATATGGATTATAAATATTTTAATCTATATTGTGACACATGATTGATTAAATTGTGCTTACAATATGACACGTGCAATGTGTTACAATGTGCTCCAATTTATTCATGCACTAATGACCTAAGTGATACTACAAGGCGAAAATATCTTTGAATGCATTTCGCTTATTTGAACTATTCATCATCGAACATGAGATGAACTATCACGCAATAATGTTACTTCCTTATTTGAGAAGACTATAAAAGCCTGACTGTTTGAATTGTTTTCACTGTCAGCTAATAATCATTTGAGTAGCTTTTCTGAAGGATTGATATTTTCAGATTTTCAAAGAATGTCTTTGAAAGTGTTGTTAACGACAGTCTACTTGGTTTTCGTCTTTCTCTGTAACAATCAAGTAGCATCGACTGGTATTCACAGCCTTCGTTATTATGGCTATAATACACCAATGGGTTAGTTAGTAAAGTGTTATTCATCTTTGCATATATGATGATATGATTTAGCATTCATTAATGTATGTAATGTTATGTAATTGGAAAAAATCGATTATTTTAGTAATTCTGTGTTTAATTTGTTACTTAATGACGCTGAACTCTTTCCTACTCACTAACACCACAGTTGCGTGTCTTTCTTATTTATTCCATTTGACGATGAACTGTCAAACAGGATTAATAAACTGTCTCCCCCGTTTTCATTCAAGAGATTCCTAGTGAGGTTAGATTTTATTACAAGTCACCATCCATTAAACCACGCTTTACTTATGAAAGGAGATGGTCATGTCAAATTCGTTTATGAATTAATACAAGAACCTATTATAGTTGTCCCACGGTAACTTTTATCGGATTATCTATCTATGCTCGCTTAGAAAAGCCTAGTCAATCCATACATTTCTTTTAAAGACAATCTTACAGGTCGAGGTTTAGATTTTCATGTCAAGCATTCATATTCATGACCAGCAGATATTTACTATCCGTATTCATCAGTTCTTGGTTATAATTTACCTTCTAAGGTAGGAATGAAAGTGTTTTCGAAAATAAACAAATAGATGAAAGAGGTTAGATGAATGAAGGCAATCGGCAAGCCTTTGACCTAGGTTTCGCGCTAGTTGACACTCAACAGTCAGCAAGGCGTATCTGCAGTCACCATGAAGGAGCTCATGTCCCTTCTGTGGTTCAAAAGTGCGTCAGCCAATACCGTTTGCAGTTAGCGGATGTTACCACAGCGCTATTCAGGATTGCGATTGACCTCCATACTGTAGGACTGCACGAAACAGGGAACTAGACTTATCACAATAGTTACTAGTGCCCAATCAAAGATGAAAGAAGTATTTTATCGATTTACCTTAAGGACATGCTTCTCTCTTCAATTCGACATCCAGTAAGACTCAGCATATGCGCACGCCTACAATGTTTCTACCCTATTCAACCCAAATCCTTCGAATGTGTTATTTGGAATTTAAGGCTAATTTACGACTTATTTTCATAGATAATTCCGCCCTCCCCCACATATTAGACTACTCCGTGTATTCAGACTGATTTGAGATTTTCTCTCGGAAAATTACCACACGTGGGGATCACTTAGAAGGATACCAATACTGTGACTGATTTCTAACACAATCGAAATATTTACTCAAATTGAACTGTTGTCATATTTTTCAGAGGTTGAACGCAGATATGATGCAGATTTATTTTTGAAGGGAACAGAAACCTCACCGAATAATATCACTGGGGTGACGACAAACGAAGCAGTTAACAAATCATCAAAGAATATACGGTTACCACAAACTGTATTTCCACGCTTCTATGATCTACAGCTTCAAGTTCACATTCATGGAAATGCAGATACTAAAGACTCCTATTTTAATGGATCTGTCACCATAGAGATTCAGTGTTTAGCAGCAACTGCAGAACTCTTTATTCATGCTTATCCCAATCTTAATGTCAGTAGGGATCAAATCAAAGTGAGTGATTCGATGTATACGGAAGTTTATTTTTGTTTTCTTTGATCTGTGTGACTGTAAAATGATTCGTTGTTACCTGTTGATTTCACGGCAGAAGTACTGTCATACTTCGTTTTCATTGTTGATGTTTCTCATTTAAGCTATGTGAGTAACACTAATTATATATGAAGTTGTCGTCCATGTTGGACTAAATAGTCGTCAGTTGACAATAACACGTCACTTATCAATTATAGTCATCCAAGTATTCACAGTTAATGCTTTTGGAAGTCCCACACACTGCAGCCTGATGACTTATTCCTGAAAGCTTCTTCTAACCATGCAGTGAATTATGGATTACTTTTGTTTGATTAGATTGCCATGATGTCACTTAAATTAGTGGAATTACACACATTCTGAGCTTAAACTCTAAACTCATATTACTACTCGTAAGTGAAGTCCATCTAACATTTTTCTGTGTATGGAAGCTGTTAGTGCAGTAATAATTCATTGAAGGAATAATCTGCCTTACACAGTGTTTTTATCGTAGAAAGAATAAACTTATCTTTCTACGACTAAGGGAAGTGGAGTGGAGACAGAAAGGAACCTTGTAGTTTCAGCTCTTTGCAGGTTGAATTAAGGACTGGTAAATTTTCAGGAGTTTTTTTTAACAAATTTCCGTCTACTATATCCCCCTTGATTAAGTCATATTTGAGGGATTTGAAACTGAACTTATCTGAATGTTAACCTTTCGACAATGTCATGAAATATTTCAAAAGTAAGCCATCTGAACTGGATGTAAGGCTGCAACACTGAACAAGATAAAAGCTTCGATAAAAGGATTAGTGCTTGATAGTACCTTCATGTCAAACACTGACCTTTCCCTTATAGATTAACCTTGTGGAGTTTACTGTCCACCAATTATTCAACACTTTGCAAACGATATTGAAGGATGAATACATGGAATTCTATGCTTTGAAAATATTAAAGAAATGTACTCAGTTGAAATTCTAATTTTAGTCTACTTCATTCATTCTCAGATTTTCATTCGTTTAATGATGAACAACATCCTTTGTTGAGCTTTTACCCGTTAAACTCAAATAAGGCTGAATGTTAAATGATGAACACTCACATCAAGTAATTAAAATGTGGGTGACGATGTGCAGTAGTCTCTTTTCTATGAATAATTCAGTTTGACTCACTTTAACGACTCCCCACCATCTTGTTTCAACTTGTATAGATATTTTCAGACGATAAGGAAGATTCAAAGAAGACGGAAATTCCAATCCAGACAATATCCTACGATAAAGATGCTGAGTGGTACCACATACAGTTAAAAGATGCACTACAACCCAATGCAAGTTATAAACTGATATTTGGTCAATTTAATTCTTCACTAAACTACGAACCGCTAGGATTTTATCTGAGTCGATATGCAGAAAATGGAACTTATAAGTAAGTAAGTACTTTTATTCGAGATATTTAATAATCATCGGAACTAATTTGATTTGAGTCCTCTGTTGAATATTTTAACTTAGTTCAGCTCATAGTGACGTTCCCATTTGGATGAGTTTCAAAGCAAACCTTATCATTCATAGAATAATGTGAAGTTATACGCCACTAGAGTACTCGGATTCTATTCCTATATTAAGCGCGATTCATAGTGTACAGAGTGGGAGAGTGCCAGTAGTCCACTGACAGATTTTACTCTGTCTTTCACACATGAACAAAGAAGGTGTGACTAGAACTTCTTAACTCTTTACGGCTTAATTACCTACCATAATAAACCTTTGTTTCATACGATGTGTTAACACAGTGCGGAAATTTGAAACGTGTTTAGTTCCACAATATTTCGTCTTCGTACAGGATTTACACATAAGGTAGTAATCCGAAGTATATCATGTGACGTGGTGTTGTTGTATATGAAGACAGGGTCAATTCTGCATATTTTGTCTTCGTTTGCCTCAAGAAATGCACATGTCCATGAGTTGGTGTAACAATCCTCTGATATAAGTGCATGATTAAAATGCAGAAGACTTTAAGCAACATCTCGATGAATGAATATTCTTGTAGCCCATCAATTTTAGCAGGCCGCCGCCTCAAACACAAATATCATCTTCTTAATGTAAACGTCAGCTTGAAACAGCATCATATTCTAATCGAATTTTAATCTGATGTTCAGTAAAATCTATGGAGATGTTCAAGACAGAGTAATTTAATTTGAGTCTGTTGAGTATCAATCAGTTATTTCATATTTCCAAAATTTTAGCATCATTTTTCATTCACATCACTGTCCATCTCATCCCACTTGAATTTAGCAGTTGGATTATTTTTCAAAAATTCTAATGAAGTGTAACTATCATTTAGTGTTATTACTATCAGTATCTTCTCAGGATTGCCAACCTTCAAAATGAAAACTAATTTCAAGAACGTCACTGACCAATTTTTCGAAATTTACTCCTCGTATTTCTCATTTCAAGCGGTAATCCAGATATACTGGAGAAGATTTGTGGCCCATGTTGATACTTTGGTGTAGTAGCATTCTCTGAGCTGGTCTCAATGGCTACATTGTCTAAGAGGTCGTCTTGTAATTGAGAGGTGCTGGTTTCGAATCCCGTTGGGTGTACACTGCTGCTCACACTAGATCAAGCAGCGAATAATCGTGAGTATTACTGAAAGTCGGTCAACTAGGTTGAAACACCAATCATCATACACTGTAGTTGGTTGTTCGTATTTTGTTGAATGATTCAGTGACGTGATTAATATTATTATTATTACTATTGTTCCCTTGGGTTCCAAGTTGAACATAGGGCTTCAAATACACATTTCCACTTCTATTTTCTTCTTTCCTGTTTGGCTGGGCCCACGATTGCCCGTAACATGTCATCTCCTCCCCCAACTCATACGATCTCTTCCATGTCACCCTCGCACCAACTACACACTCGTCGCTTCCCATTGGGATTCCACTCGATCGATGACCTGCATTAAGCGCGATGTCATTCGACGGTCTCCTCAACGTGCGTCCGATCAATCCATCTCCATTTTCTTCTAAATATTTGTTGATCGATAGGTGCTTGGTTAGTTTGTCGGCGGCCGGCGTTTCCTGTTATTAATTCTTCCTGAACATCTCATCTCCAGTATAGAGCAGTTGTTGACAAAAGTCTGCAAAACGTTGGCAAATGCTTTTCGGTGATGTGAAGCTAAATGAAAATTCGTCTATTTCCGATCAATCAGATACTAGAAAAGTGATAAATGGATGATGCCTGCCTGCCTTTCATTCTTGCAATGAAAACGCTACTCTTGTTGACAGTGAGTGACATATACATGGTAGATCAATGGGACTCCTGTCTTATTACCAGATCATTCAAAAAGGCACACACTGGAGACTGTTTCATGTGTAGTGAGAGCAGGCTGCTAGCCAATTGGTAGACATTAATTTATGTCAATGTCTAGGTCACTAATATTGGCCGTGAGAAAATACGGACAAGACTGAGTCAACAACCAATCACGGCAGACTTAACGTAGGCAAATATGATTCGCAGATATATGGCTTAACTTTCCGAGAAACCAGTCACCTTGAGCAAGAAACAACGAATCAGAAGACTGTGTTTGTCTGCTTGAATGAGCTATAATAATGTGCATGAAATATAAACAAATACGTGCTGATTTCCGTAATAAAACTATCTGTTGCCGGCCCTTGTCTTCTGTTGTTACACATGTATCTGAAGTAACCGGAAAAGCAGTGAAAATGAATGTCTCGGTTTTTAGTCCGAATAATTCATACTTTAAATTTGCAAACAGACTAAGTTTCGTGAAATTATACACTCACACTCCCCAGGTAAGTACGTAAAATTAAATATAACCACAGATTTCCAGGAAAATCCGATCATTGAATCTGCACAGACTCGAAGATATGTTAGTGGTCGTATATGTTAACAGCGTTTACTGTAAATATCCTGTTCTTGTCACTGCAAACACATTTTACAAAGACACTTTAGTGGTTCATAATTGATTGCTAATTCATGACGCAATTAAGTAGTATGTTTCCCCCCAAAGCAATCTAAGTGTCGCAGTAAATCAATAAATTAGGAAAAAGGAGCTAAACACCTGCGGTATCTTTGTCACATTCGATAGGAATATCTTTGGAAAGCCTACTTCAAATTCAACATGTTCAGCATGTTTGCATTGGGAATACATCTTGATTCAACAGAACATGACTGAGATTGTTACTGAGATTTTCCTTGAATTTTCGAAACAACTTTATTCCTTCAATTTGTATTACGATTTGTTTATCGTGATGTGCTCATTTCTCAGCCTCTCTCTGTCTCTCTCTCTCCTTTCCTAACTGGTTATGCACTAAAATTCACTTGACATTTTGACGTTAACACAACGACGTGTATGCAGAGGTATTTTGTAATTATCATGAATTGCTCACTTTATTGCTCCCCTCTCTCTTATGTAAAAGTGAATAGAATAATTAACATCGAATCATTCACAAACACTTTCAATTAACTCGAGGTACATCGTATTTATTTCAGGTACTTAGCAAGCACACAATTTGAGTCAACTTATGCAAGGCGTGTATTTCCTTGTTGGGATGAACCTGGATTTAAGGCCGTGTTTCAGGTATGTATACTATTGAGGTTCTTGTGCATTCTCTTTTTCTGTTTAATTGCGAGGTAGTTCATTAAAAGTAAAAAAAATGCTATGTTGCCTTATCTGTGGATATGTGAAGGAATTTACGACCTATATATGTGTATAAGGATCTAGAATAGGTGTGTAGTCAATGGACCATAATTTCACAAGGGAAGTCAATTTGATTCATTTCAGGGTGTCAGAAAATATGCTGTGGTTATTAAGCAAGCCAAAGAATCGTATATTGTTCCATTAATGATCAGTTCTTTCATATATCACTGTACGAATGAGTTACTAAGTATGAAGCGAGAATATGGGTTGTCTTTTATGGTATTCTAGCAGCGATCTATGGACAGGGCCCCCCTCAAAGTTATCTATTCGATTCGTGG